GGCAGCAGCGACAGTTACCGAAGGTGGCCGGACAACACTGCGACGCAGCTACAACGTCTCTTCCATCCGATCTACTCCAAATGGCACGACGATGCCAACCTGGAACGGGACAATTTGGCAGCAGCGGTGGGATACATAGCAGCAACCACCTCGGAAACAAGGCAAGGAAAACTGGTATTGAGGTAAGGCAGAACAGGTAAGAGGAACGATAATACCGAAACGGAGTAAAGTATAGACGCCCGCTCTCATTATTGCCCAGGTCAGTAACGCACCCGTAGCCGTATCCCTTCCATTACGACTGGAGACGTGACCACTGTTCCCCTACTATCGCCGCTCTCAGGCACGCTCAGGAACGCTTAGGAACGCTCGGTCGGAGCAAGTTCCGAGTCATTCCGCTCCTAACAGCCGCTCAGCATAAAAGCTGTACAGTACAAATTTCTCGCAGAAACATCGAATTTATTTTACTCTTCATCATAAACGCCTTCACCAACCGCAAAATTTTTTTTCCTCCCTTTCCAATTCTCATCTCTTGCGAAATGGAACATTCATCTGTCGGAGGTATATCATTAGAATTGTATTAATTTTATATTTTTGTTACATATACTAATAACAAAATTTAGCATCCAAGGAAGCATCAACTAAAAGCCCGTACGAACCTTCAAGATTCCGCTTACGAGCAAGTTTCCGGGGCCAGAGTTCATCGACTTGACACTCTCAGACTCCGACGGCCGAAACAATCGTCCTTCCACCACCACCACCAGTCATCGAGATCATCGACATGTGTAGAGCAACTCGTGTGCGCCGCCACGAAGAAACACCAGAGCGTACTAGCCGCATTCACACGACACTATCTATGGTGCCGCACACCGAGCCATATTCCACGAGTCGTCGCCAACTGGTGCATCGCCGAATTTCGCATTAACAGACAGAGATAAGCGCCGGACATGATGGCTACGCGCTCCAAAAAGGACGCCAGTGAACAACCGTCGTCGCTCACATCCGACGAAAGAACAGCCACTCAAAAACAATTAGTTGAAAAAAAAACGTCTCCGCAAAGAAGAACGCGCACTCGAACAGCGCCAACACGAGATAGAGAGCAAGGACTCTCTGATCGAAGATCTGCGTTGTGAAATAGAATCAATTTGCGCAAACACGCCGCGCCAAGAACAATTTCTTCAAACGCCGCACTGCTCCGACATGACTGCGCGTATGACAGTTTTTCCACCTTCGCCTTGGGCTTTCGATTCCCACCTTCAACGGTCACAACATGCCTGTACGTCAGTACATCCGCGTCTGCAAGCAGGCAGGACGTATGATTCCACGGCAGATGGAATCGTATTTGTTAGACCTTTTTAAAGGGAAGCTAACCGGCCGCGCTTATTCGGTTATTAACAGAGAAGACTGCGAGACCGTCGAGAGGCTCTGCAGCTTCCTAGAAATAGCATTCGCACCTCGCAAGGATATCGACGACATGGGAGGCGAACTAGCTCAAATTTACATGGAGAAGGATGAGCATATACTCGATTATATCGGTCGATTATATCGGCCGCGTCAAAGAATTGCGAAGCGCGATACTTGATTGCAAGAACGGAAGCGCTAACAGGCGCGAAATAGATCGACTGACCGAGAGAAAATTTGTAAAAGGACTACCCAACCAAATACGGGCTCATGTATGCTCGAGGATCTGTCGCTGAGCGATATATTTCAAGAAGTCATTGAGATTTACCAGCGCATGCAGTTCGAGGAATCGCGCACGGTTTCGAGGCACGACGCTCTCAGTTCTCAGAATCCAAAGACAACAAACATCGCGAGACACACGCTGACGCGACGCGTTATCTACATCGCGCAGATTCTTGGAACTTCCCCTCTCCACGGTACGAGCAAAGTCCTACGTCACAGTCGTACTCGCCGCCCCACCGACGACCAGAGTACAGCCCACTCCAAACGACGCGTTCGAGCGCCGAGCGAAACACCGGCCCGCGTTACGAGCCGTCGCGCATCTATGTAACTTCTGATCGCCGTGCTTCAAATACCGAACGATATTGCCGTTACTGAAGAATAGCGCTACATGATACGCATGAATGCTGCAGAAGAGAGTCAAACAATTCGTATTCGGGAAACACCTTCCCCCTCCCGTCGAACGGCGTGCCACGACGGGAGGAAAGACCGCGAAGCATGCAGGAGAGATCGCGAAGCATGCAGGAGAGACCGCGAAACATGCAGGAGAGACCGAAAAGCATACAGGAGAGACCATTAATGGTACAAAACGCAACCCTGATGGAAGAGCAAAACCCCGAGTCACGAGTCTAAGCTCGCCCACTGAATTATTAATACCACGCGTGCAATTGGAATCACCGCAACTCGCGCGCGTTACCGAATTCCTGCTCGACACCGGAGCTGAGTCAAACTTGATCGAATCTTCCGCACTAAAATCAAACGTAAAATTTAACCCAGCCTCGCATTAAAAGGTATTTCGAACGAGCGAGTCGAGACTCTGGGTTCCACTCAAATTTATATCGCCGGAAAACCCGTCGACTTCCACGTTGTTCCAGACACTCTCGCGATAAAAACCGAAGGACTCTTAGGATCTTCCTTCTGCTCCGCCGGAACCGTAATATCATACCCCGAGCAAAATATTATATGGGGAGACGTAACCATTCCTTTCTCGCAACTAACGGTGACAATACCCGCTCGCGCCGTTTCCTAACAAAAATTCAAGGCAACCGGGAGAATAAAACGAGAAATAGCCCCCGACGTAACGATTCACGATTCGTTAGTCCGATGCGAGAAGAATCGTATCACCGTCGCATATGTCAACACTTCTGACGAAGCCCGCGTCATATCCACGCCCGTCATAGAGCTGAAAGACGTCGAGATAGTCTCAAACGTACCGCCAGTAGAGTCACGACCGGAAAAGTCCAAATCCAGCGCCGTTTCGCGCGTCCTCGCCATAAACGGTAAGCTATCCGTAGACGAGCGAATCCGCGAATTAAACTCGGTCATACCGACGACACACCTAAGCGAAGAAGAAAAGAACTGCGTATCAGAGTCGACCGATCAAAATTTCCACTTCTTTCATCACCCTTGAGAACATCGATATATACCCAAATAAAATAACTTGCAAACACAAACCCAGACTAATTCATCAAAAGAGACGGGAGCGTCTAAAAACATCACTCGTTGTCTGTGCCGTAGAACACGACCGAGTGCATATTTACGGTCACAAGTCCAAGCTGGTTACCGATCACCGCCCGTTTATCTGGAGAAAAAGCGAAAAGGATCAAGTCGCGAACTATAAAATGGCAAACAAGCTAAATGACCTTGAATATCAAGTAGTTTACGAAGCAGGGAAGTCTATTGCGGACGCCCTATCCCACAATCCCGTGTAAGTACTCAGGTTTCGTTCGAAGATTTCCTATACACCCCGGAACCAATCCCCTCCACTTCAAGGAGACCTAACGCCGTCTTCTCCCGAGTTACCTCGAACTCCATCCCCTCCAGTAACTCAGGAGAAATCACCTCCGCTGGAAGAAGATAGCTCCAGCGACAGCAATCTGTTTGACACGAGCGGAATCGAGGCGCACGGCCTCCGCCGCACTATCATGTACGTCCGGGACCGCATTACGCAATGCGACGAGATAACATCGCCTGTCTCGTAGCCTTGGAGGGGTCGCCTATCGACACCGGCGCCGAGGATCTCGCCAGACAAAACAAACTCTCGGTTATAAATGACCTGACTCTCGGCAGAGTCAGAGTCTCGAACCTAGGTCAGTACAAAATGATCCTTTTACCGTGTAAACAAATACACTCTCACGAAACCGAACGAAAAGATTTACTAGAGTGTCTACGGTCGCTCCTCGACGTCACGACCGAGCTCGATTTACGCACGATCTCATTATCTAGATTTTCTCCAGATAGAATATCCTGGAATTCCATACGCGACATCCTCTTTGGAGGACACATTGACCTATTTTCCCACACCCACACGGAAATATTCGCCTGCACACACGGAGTCCTCTTTGGAGCGACATATTGACCTATTTTCCCACACCCACACGGAAATATTCGCCTGCACACACGAAGTCACCATTCCTCCCTCTCACCTTTGGACCGACATTATCGTAGAGAATCACATATCGCATTCGCCATAATATAGGCACATAAAGGCATAACTAAATACGGCACAACTACTATTGGCCGTCGCTAAAAGACGATATTCAAAATTACATTAACTCTTGCTCCAGCTGTCAACTGCAAAAGCTGACCAGAGTCAAGACACAGCAACCAATGACACTTACCGACACGCCAGGTGAGCGCTCGATAAAGTTTCAATGGACATTGTCGGACCACTCCCCATCACTCCTCCGGCAACAGTTACACCCTAAACATGCAGGATCTCCTTATGAAGTATTATGTAGCCACACCCATTCCACAACCTACAGCCTGCGTCACAGCCGATGCATATGTAAAAACCATCATCTGCAAATTTGGAGCCCCGAAAGCAATGTTGACCGACTAAGGCAGTAATTTCATGAGTTCCCTCTTCCGAACCATCGCGAAGAGATTCTGAATATCTCAACTCCGAACAACAGCGTTCCATCCCCAGAGTAACGGGTCGATCGAACGCTCGCATCACGTGCTAAACGAATATTTAAAACACTACATCTCGCACAACAATTGGGACAAATGGCTCGACACGGCAATGTTCTCGTACAATACCAGCGTGCACGAAAGCACACAGTTCACTCTACACGAGTTAGTATTCGGCAGCCTCGCGTGAACACCGTCTGCGAACACCACTCCCCACGGAACGGGGGACGAAACATACGATAATTACCTCCGGGAACTTCAAACGAAGATATTAGAATCCATAGACCAAGCTTGCTCTAAAACCGACAAATCAAAAATCCGCACCAAAACCTATTACGATAGGAAATTAAAAGTAAACTACTTCTCCCCAGGCGAATTCGCGTACCTGCGAAGCGAGCCAAAGAAAGGAAGATTCGGTCAGGAATAGTCCGGTCCTCGCTGAATAATCGACATGTAGGAAAATCAAAATATAAAAAAAAAGTATAAGCGCAAACCGAAAATTGTACACGCGAACAAACTCAAGCGAGCGAGATCAACAAGCCACGCATTAGCACAAACGTGATAACAAAAGACAGGATAATCATCACACCGTCAACTGAGACGAACGTCGAATACAACAACAGTACATCAAACATCACCCCAAGAAGCAGCAAATCTCAACGCTACGACATAGCGCCTCCACATGAAAGACGATGCTACAACACTCAGCAACGATTTTCCAATAAATTGAAAGATCGATTTTTACGGGAAGAGAGATTTGACGTCGGGCAACCGAAGTTTGCATTCGGTAGCTTACACAAGCCAGCACTTGAAACCATAAATTGTAACTCTAACCGAGCACACCGTACCCTCCGAACAGATGTGCTAAAAACTGGGAAACAGACAAACGAATCAAAGAACCTTTCTGTCGTTATAACGACAATCCTCAACGCCACATACTCCAAATTATAACACAAACATCTAACCAATTGTCATTGGCCGAACTACGACAAACAGAGGCCCTCCCAAGCGTAACGCGCATCCCTTGATATCTTATCCCCTCTTCACCAAAATTCCCAGAATAAGCACTTCAAACCAGGAGTAAATAGAAAAAAGCAAGCCAGCAAATCAGTCTTAAAGTTTTACTCTCAGCCTAAAACCGTCTCAAACAACGTCCATACCAGGAGTGCGAGAAGAATAAAGTCTTTCCGCGAAGCACGATGCACCACCGTGGTGCAACTCCGATAATCAGCCGCGAGCATGCCGTTGTCAGGGTCCATCGAGCATTGAATAACTTGTTTTAAAATTAATGTATAACAAATAACAAATCTAAAGAAAATATTTAATTATTATTACTATATTGCATTACTCATTGTCTCCAGGTAAAAGTACGTAATATACACTTATCAATAAACGCGAGATATATTAATCAGCAAAAACTCTTACGACTCATGTTACTCTATACGACGGAGGTGCAGAAAGAACTGTACTATCATAGACGATATATGGGAATCTAGTACAGGCGATATACTGAGGTGCAGACACAGCTGCAGGATATACTCAATTATGCGCACGATCAAAACGATAAATACCGCGAGAGCGCCGCGCCGGTAGGAAATATCACTTACGAAACTCGTGCGCGATCTTTACTGTAGGGAAGGCAGTAGCCTCCTTTCCCCACCCGTAGAACGCGGGCAAGAACTTCAAGGCAAGAACAGGCGACTACCTGCTCTGAGTGGAAGCTTATTCTCATTACTTTCAATCCAGCAAAGCCGCCGACCTGTAAGCCCCGTGATTCCGCGGATGCAACGTGATAGACGGATGCACAAACCGGCTGGACAAAAGGATTGCCTCGAGTACGCGTGCCGTGATGCAAGTCTATGGCGCTATATTTCACGACAAGAAAACGAACACGAACGCAACATTATAGTTGGCACACACCAAGATGAGAAAATTTTTGATAGCACACACAGGGGAGTGACAATTTTTTGTGTCAGCAGCGGTGGGAAATGACAATATTTGGAGCCAGAGGAGGGATAACGTATAAAGGAGGCGAAGAGGAGCAGCGACGAGCCAAGGGTAAAGGTCGTTAGAACGACAGACCGAAGAGTGAGAACGCTCCTTCGCTAAGGGGGAAGGTGTACCCTCTTCCGACAATTGTGTCCGAAAAAAGAAGCCAACACTACTACGTCATGAAAAACAAAACTTACGGATAGAAGAAGGAAATGAGCGCAACGTACAAAAGAACAACCACCTCTCACAAATGATAGTATTTCTTTCGGAAATTCTATACAATCCTCGCCTTCTACATTAATCGACACAAATTGAGGGGGTACAATACATCTTCATTCAGCAAAGATCCATCTTCCATCCGTAAAAGATGATTTCCATTACGTAGTAGATACGTTTCCAAATTAGAAGGTTGACAGCAGAAAGTTGTCCAAACACAATAGTCGGTAGACATCAAATTAACATGTTTCTACGTGAAAGATGCTAGTTAGCTATGAAAATAGCAAGATTCTTC